GTAAATGGAGTGAAAGTGTTCCAGAGTCCTTGCATTGTCTGGAAAGAATTAAAAGAACCAATTTATAATATATTGTGTTAAATCAAGGATGCATATCATAATCTCTAAAGTAACTACTAAAAGAATGTATAACTACCAAGCTAATGGGCAGAGGGTGGCGTGAAGTTTGGAGGAGGGGAGGTGGAAATGAAATAACAAAATATACTCAAACAATCCAGAGAAGGCAAGAAAGGAGAGAGAAAAAGAACTAGTGACACAAATAGAAAGCAAACAGTAAGGTAGCATATTTAAATTCCAATATATTGATGATTGGTTCAAATAAATGCCCAGATTAAAAGTCAAGAATTAGCACAATGGATTTTTAAAATATATGCTACTTACAAGGTACACATTTAGAAAGATTAAAAGTAAAAGGATGGGAAAGTTATAGCATGTAAACATTAAGCAAAAAGTAGACTTTAAGGCAAAAGCATTACTCAGAGATAAGTGTTCAATAAACTAGGAAGGTAAAACAATTCTAAATTTGTATGTACATAATAATAGAGCATCAAAATATATAAAGTAAAAATTAGCATAACTATAACAGAAAAATCTATAAATAAGAGGTTTTAATATACCTTTCATGTTATATGATAACTGATATAATAGAGATCAATAAGAATAGAGAAAATTTGAATAATATTAACAAATATGACCTAATTGACATATGTAAAATACTACATTCAAAATCCAGAATATACTTTATTTTAAATACACATGAAACATTAAAAAAAATTATCTTTTGCTGGGCCATAAAGCAAATCTCAATAAATTTCATAAGTTTAAAATCATACAGTAAAATTAAGCTAAAAATCAATGGCAAAACATAACTAGAAAAGTCCCCATATGTTAGAAAATTGAAAAGTATATTTCAAAGAAGAAATCTCAGTGAGACTTAGAAAATACTTTAACTGAAAAGTAATAAAAATAAAATATCAAAACTTGTGGGAGGCAGCTAAAGCTCTGCTAGAGAGAAGTTTATCATCTCAAAGGCATATACTCGGGGCGGAGGGGGGAGGATGAAAAATAACAAACTAAGGATCCATATCCTTAGAAAAAGAACGCTAAACTAAGCATAAAGAAAGTAGAAAAGGAAATAATTAAGAGCAGAAATCGATGAAACTGAACACAAGCAGACATTTAAGAGGATCAACGAAGCCAAAAAGATGGTCCTTTGAAAAGCCTCATTAAATTGATAAGATCCTGGCAAGCCTAAACAAACAAACAAAAAAGACAGTCAGCAAAAACAACCATATCAGGGATAAAAACAAGGGATATCAATTAACCCTACATACATTTTTTAAAAACATAGGATGATATTATGAATAATGTTAGGTCAATAAATTTTAAATTTTAGATGACATGGATAAGTTTCCAGAAAAACACAATTTACCAAATCTGACACAATAAGAAATAGAGAATCAGAATAATCCTATACTATTAAAGAAATAGAACTCATAATTTAAGATCTACCTATGAAGAAATTTACAGGCCCAGATGGCTTTACTGTTGAATTATTCCAAACATGTAAGAAATAATGCCAGTCTTATACATTTTCATACAGAGAATAGAAAAGAGAACAATTTCCAACTCATTTTAAAGATCAGCAAAACCTTAAAACCAAAACCTAATAAGGACATTATAAAGAAGAAAAATTACAGGCCAATTTTATTCATGAAATAGATGCAAAAAATCCTAAACAAAATATTAGCAAAGCAAATCTAGCAATATATTAAAAGAAAAATAAGCGCAACCAGTTGGAATTTAGTTCAGGAATGAAAGGATAGCTTAACACTCAAAAATCAATCATAGCTGTTATAAACATTTTTTAAATCAATCAATGTACTTTACCACATTGATGGACTAAAGCATAAGCCATGTGATTATCTCAATAATACAGAAAAAACATTAGATAAAATCTAACATCCATCCATGATAAAAATTCTTAGTAAACTAGAAGGGAACTTTCCTAATTGAAGAAAAAGTATCTTTTAAAAAAATCTATTGATAACTTATGTCCACATAAAACCTGTTCACAAATGTTTATAGCGGTTTTATCCACAATTGTCAAAAATTGAAAGAAACCAAGATATCCTTCAATAAATAAATTGATAAAGGATAAATAAACTATCGTACATCCACACAATAGAATATTATTCAGTGATGAGAAGAAATGAGGTATCAAGCCACTGAAAGATGTGGAGGAACCTTAAATGCATATTGCTATGTGAAAGTAGCCAGTCTGAAAAAGCTACATACTGTATGATTCCAACTATATGACATTTGGGAGAAGGAAAAACTATAGAGACAGCAAAAAGATTAGTGGTTGCCAGGGGTTGAGGGAAGTGGGAAGGGAAGAATAGGTGGAACAAGGTATTTTTAGGGCAGTGAAACTTTTCTGTATGATACTATAATGGTGGATACATGACACTATGCATTTTTCAAAATCCATAGAACTGTACAATACAAAAAGTGAACCCTAATGTAAACTATGGACTTTAGTTAGTAAAAATTAATATTGGTTCATCAATTGTTATAAATGTACCACACTGAGGCAAGATGTTAATAATAGGGGAAATGGAGGGGATAACGTGAAGGGAGTATATGGGAACTCTCTGTACTCTCTGCTTGATTTTTCTTTAAACCTAAAATTTCTCTAAAAGACAAAATCTATTAGCTTTTTTTTAATCTACAGCAAACAGCATACTTGATGATAAAATGTTGAAAACTTTTCCTCTCAGATTGGGAACAGATAAGGATGCCAACTATCACTGCTTACATTCAACACTGTACCGGAGGTCCAGCGAAATAAGGCAAAAAAAAAGAAAACCAATAAATAGTTCGGAAAGGAAGAAAAGAAAATGTCATTACTTGCATCTGATATGATTGTACATATACAAAATCTAAAAGAATCTATAAATTATTAGAATTTATAAGTGTAATTACAGCATTACTGAATATAAGATCAATAAACAAAAATCAATCACATTGCTATACAGCATATTAACATAAATGATAGCAAAAGTAAATAACATTTAAAATGATTTCAAAAAATGTCAAATACCTAGGAATAAATCCAACAAAAGATATAAAAAATTTGTACCCAGGAAACTATAAAACACTGAAAGAAATTAAAGAAGTCCCAAATAAATGGAAGGATATATTGTGTTCATGTACTGGAAGACTCAACATTGTGTAAAGATGCTCATCCTCTCTCAAATTGATATATAGATTCAGTGCAAATGCAATTAAAATCTGAGAAGATTTTTGTTTTTGTTTTGTGTGTGTGTCTGTGTGCACGCATCTGTGTGTGTGTGTGTGTGGAAACTGACAAGCTGATTATAAAATTTATACAAAACTGTAAAGCACGAGGAATGGCCATGATTCTCATTGTAGAAAAAAAAATTAGGAGGACCTGATCTACTAAACATCAAGATTTTTACATAGTGATAGTAATTAGAACAGTGTAGTACTGGCACAAGTATACATAAGTAGACCAATGGACCAGAATGTAGAGCCCAGGAACAGAACAATACATATATGGATAATTCATTTTTAGAATTAAAAATTCTTCTAGAAGATAATATAGGAGAATATTTTCATGACCGTAGCATGGGAAGATGTCTGAAACAGGATGCACAATGTACTACTCATAAAGGAAAAGACTGATATACTGGACCATGTCTGTTCATCAAAAGCTACCATTAAAAAGGTATCTACAAAAATACCTATAGCAATTTCATAATTAATGATGAATTATTAAACATTTTCCAAATGAGATGGGGAAAATGAATCCTGCTATCACCACTTCTTTTCAACTTAAGACCCTAGCTAGAATGATAAGGCAAGAAGAAGAAATAAAAGGCATAAATATTGGAAAGAAAGAAATAAAACTGTCATTATTTTCAAATAACACGATCACATACATAGAAAATCCAAAATAATCTACAGATCAACTATTTAAACTAATAAGTGAATTTAGCAAGATCTCTAAATATGAGGTCATTATACAAAATCAATTGCATTTCTACATATCAGCAAAAACAGAAAATGAAAGTTTAAAAGACACCATTTACAATAGTTTCAAAACACGCTAAATTCCTGGGGATAAATTTAACAAAAGATATGTAATATCCTTACACTGAAAACTATAAACATTAGGGGGAAAAATTTTAAAAGACTCAAATAAATGGAGAGATAGTCCATGTTCGTGGATTGGAGACTCAATATTTCTCACTATTGTAAAGATATCAATTATCCCCAAATTGATCTATAGTTGCATCATGATCACAATCAAAGTTTTTTTTCTTTGCAAAAACTGACAAGTTGATTCTACAATTTATGGAAACGCAAAAGGCCGAGAAAAACTCAGGCGATTTTGAGAAAGCAAAGAGCTAAAGAGCTTGTACTGCAGATGTTAAGACCTATCATATGGCTATAATAACATAAATAAGCTTAGTCAGTATAAGTAAATTTTAAAAGTAATGTTTTTAAAAGATTTAAAAATAAAACTCTAACTGAAAACAATTTACATTACATAATCCAAGGAAAATTTTTACCTTGGATTCAGCATCAGGAAAAAGTGAATCCCTTCAGCTAGATGAACCGATAAACTTGCTTTTATCACAGAATTAGGATTATAGCCTATTTTGCTACCCCTTCCAGGAAATATAAGTATGTTTAGTGCTCAAATGTAATAAGGAACTAATCATAAGTGCATCAAAACATATCTCTTGGCATTCTTTAACATGCTTTTTGTTTATTAGGTATTAAGTAAATACTTCAAATTATTTTTAAGTATTAAATAAATAAATGACAAAGCTGTGTCTTCAATGCTTTAAAACCATTCTCCCTCCTTATTTGCCAAAGAAGCAAGAGAAACGGCTAATTCCAAAGCCAAAGCCAGAACTTGGCTAGTGCAAACTTATCTTCACAACTCCTGACAAATCAGAGATGTTTACCTGATTGAGCCCTTCCCCAGCTTTCCTAAGATTCTGTAGTTGGTAAACTTCTAGGTTTTCTCCATTATCTTGACAGCACAAATCAATTACAACACAGCCCTGGTCCTCAAAGGCATTGATTTGATGAAAAGTAATAAAAGGTTTACTGTAGTACATCCCTGGAAGAAGCTGCAAAGGAAAACATAAACAATGAAAAAGAGATATGTTGTTTTATTTTTACATTTTTCCTTTAACAAACAGATCCACAAAGCTCAAGTTGAGATTCCCCCCCTTTAAGTGACAGGCCTGGTAGGTGTAAAAAGTAGAATTTGGAATGTAGAAGCAAATATGCTTTGATTTAAGCATTGCTTGTTTAAGTCATCTCATCTCATATTAATCAATGAACTGGAGCTATTTGATACAGACCAATCAACTGTCACAACTAACTTAAAAGTCCTCACAAAATATGGTCCCATGTTTTGAAGGATAAATAACTCTAACTACATGGTTAAATAGAAAATACTGCTATTAAGTAGCTTATGAAGAATTAAGTGACTAATTCTTTGAAAAATGCACTCATTATGAAAATGGGATTTTTTTGGTAATGAAATTAGGGTACAGTAAATTTAAGATACTATCTCTTTAGAGAGGTAAAAAGACAAATATAACAGTGCTTTTACTCAGGAGTATAGAAAGATATTTAACCAACATGCTTTAGACTTTGGTAGGATTATCATATTTACATATCAAGAAGTCATAGAAGTAACTAATTGAAGTGCCACTGCAAAAGTTACAGAACAAATGACATCCTCTTTAGCAAATATTATGATATGGAAAAACCCATGCTAAGAGGGTTTCTAGATGTCATTTTAATTGAATCAGATAATTAAAAGGAAAAACCATTTCCTACAAAATCCACTGTATTAATTAAAAAGTAGCTAGCCCTACCTATGGAAGAAGGTACTATCCTTGATTAAGAGTGTCTTACACAAGTAATGCCCAGTGAAGGTAAAAACTAACCATATGGATATTTGCCTTTGTGTCCAATCATTTTCATGATCAATATACTCAAAATACTCCACCTGTCCAGTGTGCTTATCCACCACGTGAAATCGTGTATTGTACTCGGGTTCCCAGCTTATTCCATCTGAAAAGGCCTTTCCCCGAATTTTGGAAGTGACGATTTTCCACAGATTCATCTTTAGAGGCTGTTCAATGAAGACTATATAGTTTCTTGTCATTCCTAAAAGGTTCCAGCAAACAATAAAATGTTATTTTGCAAACTAGCGTTGTCTTAAACGTGCCAGTTATGGGGACTTGTCTGAATGCCTGGACATATTACTGCTGACCTAAATAAATGCCAGCCAGAAATAATTCTTCATTGTTTCCCAGCTTTTCTGTACATATCTCCTGTTCCTACATGAAAGAGGGAACTGCTTAAAATAACTTGGGTTGAATGCCCTCAGCTTTCTTGTTATCTTTTTTTTTGTTTTCTTTTTAAATGGTTTTGGTTTAGGAACAAAGCAAAGAAGCATAATATTCAAGTGTCATTTATGATCTAGACCTATATTCCTTAATCCTTTTGCTATTTATACTGGAGGTAAGGATCCAGGAACAGATTGGCTATAAAGCTTTACAAAGCAGAAGGTAAATACTCTGAGAAAAAGCTGAAGCAATCTATATAGAATATGAATTCTGCCCCGCTACCCCCAAATACAGGCAAGACCTTTTCACGTATAATGATTATCTATGGGCTTTAAAGTTACCTAAAATTTTGAACCCTGTCAATTTTTAATGATCAAACGATTTTTTTTTAAGACTTTACTTCTTTTGGAGTGTTTTTATTTTCACAACAAATCAAAGGGAAGGTACAGAGATTTCCCATATATCCCCTGGCCCCACACATACATAGTATCCCCATTATCAACATCCCCAACTAAAGTGGTATATTTGTTACAACTGGTGAACCTACATTAACACATCATAATCACCAAAAGTCCATAGTTTATATTACAGTTCACTCTGGGTGTTGTCAATTAATATTTTAGTACTTGCTTGTACTAAAATAATTATATTTTTTCAAGCTGTCAGTTGGCTAGGGTAAGAAGTATGAGACTAAACAGAATAAACTTAACTGGCATTAAAATGCAATCTTGGTCTCATTATCCCCATACTCTGATAAGCTGTATTAACACAGTACTTGCCAAAACTAGTCCCTCTGCTCGGTACATGTGTGTGGTGATGGGTTGTAATTAGTATTTTGGTGGTGAAGATGATGTAATCTATGCAGAAATAGAAGTACAATGATGTACACCTGAAATTTTTACAATGTTATAAACCAATGTTGCTGCAATAAACAAAAAATTAAAAAAAAAAAAAAAACTAGTCCCTCTGCTATGGTGACATTAAGGCAGGCCCCATTACAATTTACCTTATCTCTGAACTCACCAAAGCTATGGTAGTAAGAAGGTTTCATCCTCTCTGCAGAGGCAATAGAACATATCACCTGGGCTCCATGGATAGTCTCTCCAAGGTCCACCTTCTCTGGAGGAACTCGAATAACATTATAGCAAGAACCTGGAAAATGGAAAGTCTGTCTTGTTTTACATGCATTCTAGAATAAAAGATAACCCTTGCACTAGTGGACTAGGCAAAAACAGTTAAGAGATTTATGCAATGTGCATGACATCCATATTTCATGAGGGGTTATTTCAAACAAAGACTTGGATATAAAAAATACATTAACTTTATGAAAATCATTAGCTAAGGTTTTGAAACAACACACACAAAGTAATCAACCAACAGTTTATTGTATTTTAATGCTCTCAAATGGTTACCTTCTCACTCCCTAAAGAGGGACTCAATCCCTACTTCACAGGAAAAGATAAGGTAGCAGCCAGGAATATCCTTAAATTCTATTTGTCCCTCTCCCCACTCCCCACTTCAGTCTCCATTTCAAAGAATCCATGCCCAACACCTTCCCTTCAGTCCTCTGGATCCCCGGGGTCACTTTGGGTCCCATCTCATCCTGTCTCATCAACATTCATTTATACAATAATTCATCTGACTATTGCTTACTACTTCTTCAAGAATCAACTCAAGTATCCACTCATCAAGTAGCCCTCCTTGACTCCTCCCCACCCAAAGGCATTTGGTGCCCTCCTCTATGCCCTGATTATATCTATACATTCATAGCACTTATCCCATTGTATTATAATATTCCTGCTTGTTTATCTTCTTCCCAGTAGACTGGTGAGCTCTTCAAAGGCAAAAATTGTGTCTGATTTATTTCTGCATCCTCAGTACCAAACAAGGACTTGGTATTTAATAGGTACACTATAGATAGCTATTGATGGATTAACAAACAATATATGTTGGTTAAATCATTCTATGAATGAACAAATATTGAGGTCAGATTGAATTAACTTCCTGTTATTTGAATTGCCTGAAGAACTTGGGTAACATATAATTTTGCAATCACTAGGTTCCTTTGGAACAAGATAACCATATAGTTCTCTATTCATTTATTCAGCAACTACTTATTGAGTGCCAACTATATTCCAGGCACTCTTCTAAGTGTCCTAAGAACCATATTCCAGACACTTCTATACAGCAGTGTACAAAAGAGACAAAATGCTCTTTTTTTTATAAAGCTCAAATTCTAATAAATCATACAAGAAGTAAAAAATATAATGCATCAGATGATGATAAGAGGATGATTTAGAGAATTTTTGTTAATTTGAAAAAGTCTTTTTAAAATATCTGAAAAAGCTAAAACAATTAAAAGCTTTTTATTTCCTAAAGATAGAAATTACTAGCAAGTACTTTATCACAATGAGAATCACTAAATTTCCCCCAAACGCATCCTAGGTAGTAGAGCTCCCTGCAGCTACATGTACATTTGAGTTCTAGTTCAAAAACTCCTCACTGAACCAAACAATCAAATAAGAAAAAGGGAGTAAATTCAGTTCTAGTTGAGATTAAGAGAAGATAAAGAGAGGAATTTCCTGTCTCAGCAATTGCATTAAGTGACAATTACTCAATTCACTAAACTTAAACACTACGAGAACTATTTTAACTGTGTGTCTTGAAGGCATGAGCAAGGCAGACAGACACCAAAGGAAACACCCGGCAGAGGAATGCCCATAGGAATGACCTGCCCAATACTGTGAGTCTAACTCTGGGAGACTCTCCAGGACTTTGTAAAAACAACGAATTGAGGCAAAACAACAAGTGTAGCCTCTGATGATTGGTGAAAGGGTTCCTCAAAGATCCAGGGGCCACTTGCACCAAAATCACCAGGGAATATTGTTAAAATGCACCAACATAAGGGGTAAGGGGGGTAGTTAAAACGCAAATTCTTGGCCCCTTTTCAGATCTACTGAACCAGAATCTCTGAAGATGAAGCTCAGTAATCTACATTGTTAGGAAGCATTCCAGATGATTCTTAGGCACACTAAAGGCTGAGAATCACTGATCTAATGACTATTTATTTTAGAACACATAATTCAGAATTGTTAAACAGTATTTCTCATATTATGAACTAGTTACAAAGTTACCTACTTGGTTAATAGAGTTAATTTATTAATAGATTTTTTTAATGATCAAAAAAGATGGATGGACAAAAAACTGCTGAGTCAGTTTACCTACTTGCTGAAACATTTTACCTAAAATGATGTTTGCTGTTTCCTATAACAGTTTTGAAGAATACATCCCTACCCGAGATCAGGTAATAAAGAAGAGGAAAAACAGCTGGGTGATGAAGTTTCCAGGGTACCCTATCTCTACTTGAACCGGTAAAAAACAAATCTGCAGTATTCATTTTCATATACACTCATATGTATAAATATGGAGAGGTAGAGATGAACAACCCACAAAACCAATTACTCACCAAAGGTATACATTAACCTATACAAAAGATAACCTATACGAAAGTTTGATAGGTTAGAAATGATAGATTGATTGACAGTTAAGATAGTCAGAAATGTCTAATACTTATACGTACACATTCCTTTTCAAACAGAGAGAAACGTGTACTCAGGTGTAGGAACATGAATTTGCATGCCCTGAGAGAGCCTTCTGTGCTCAGTGATGAATAATTATTAAGCTGGTCTAAGAGTGACTAATAGCAAGCCTTTGGGTGTGATTCAGGCTTGGTGCCAAGTCTGGTCTTACACACTTAGAAGTTTGCCTAAGCACGTATCCTAAACCTTCTCAAGGTTCACTGCCCTTGTCTGCAATATAGGGGTAATAATAGCACCTTTCTCAGAGAGTTGTTATAAGGATTAAATGAGAAAATATATGAAAAAAATGCTTAACACCAGCACATACTAGACACTTGTTAGCTGTCAATATTAGCTATTAGAACTTTCTGAGCAGACTGGTAGGCAGTTGGGGAAGTACATGGATGACCAAGAAAGAGATGTGATATAAGTGGTTGTGAATGCAATTGCACTATAACCTCAACTTACTTTGTAGTGTGTTACTCTCATGATAAAAATAAATTCCTTCCCATGTGAAAGACAATGTACCTTCCCTATATCTCTTTGCTGAAGCATTCTAAATTTCTTATACTTACAATATGGTACTTATTAAAAATTCAAGTTTGAGAAATACATACTGCAAGTCCCTACAATGCAAGTAAGCCAAAAAGCACATAAAATGTGAGTCGTGCTGAAACAGCCAAATAGAAAATCAGCTGCTTAGCATACGTGCAAAAAGACCACAGAACACATACTTAATGATAAATTATATACTTTAAGTTCAGTGACACCACTTTGGAGATTTCTTTCTGAACCTTTCAAATGAAGTTTTATATGTTTACATCTTAACCATAATGGAACCCTGGGAAGTTAACTTCCAATTATTTTTAAAAAGACCTCCATCCCAACTTTACCGCGTCGCCCATAGGAGTTTCCCATGTTGTATGCTGTTCCATCTGGGTCATAATGAGGATGTGCAGTTGCTCCATTCACAGCAATAAATTTGCTCCAGTCTACCTGCAAATTTAAGACCAGCAGAGACTTTTAAATGTTACATGGGCAGAACTCCTGGGTATAGACAGTGAGGATGTTATCAAATATTTTTTAAATAAGATATGAAAACTACAGTCTAAGCCCTGAAATCTCACCTCTGAGAAATCAAAATTATTTTTCCTACTAAAGAAATAGAAACTAAGACCAAAAAAAAAAAACCAACTAAAAACAAACAAAAACCCTGCCACTACCACCAAAAAATGGATAATGATTATCCAGTAAAGGATTTTTTTCCCCCAAGATCATAGGAAAGTTCAAAAGAATAAGAATTAAAATTGTGGTCCAAAATTTTATTTTATTTTTAATTAATATGTTAAGTGAAGGCAATATCGGTCTGGACAATCTCTGGTTCAAATCTACCTGTAACTAGGAAGAACATGAACCGGCCAAGGTAAATCTGTATTATTCTATTTCTCCTTTACCCTAGCCTTCAGATGTTAGGACCAAGGAAGAAGAAGTCTGCAATTATCTTTAAGGAAAACCAACCCCACAGGCCATTCTAATCAGGACAGAGAGTGCACAAGGACCCGAAACAGCGGGTGACTTTGTTTTTGTTTGGTTAAGGCTCCAATTTCTTCTTCAGATATCTACTACTCTAAAAAGTATTTTGAGGGGCTGGCCTGGTGGTGTAGTGGTTAAGTTCACGTGTTCCGCTTCGGCGACCCAGGGCTCTCCGGTTAGGATCCTGGGTGCAGACCTAATCACCGCTCATCAAGCCATGCTGAGGCGGCATCCCACATAGAAGAACTAGAAGGACCTACAACGAGGATATACAACTATGTACTGGGGCTTTGGGGAGAAAGAAAGAAAAAAAAAGAGGAAGATTGGCAACAGATGTTAGCTCTGGGACAAGGTTCCTCAAAAAAAAAAAGTATGTCGAAAGGAAAGAAATTTTAGGTCAAAATTTTTAACCTAAATTTTACCTTTTCTGTTTTTTCCAAGGTTTCAGTGTCCACTTTATTCATAAAGTTGGTCTCAGTACTAAGGTAGTAATCACCCTTGTACCGCACATAGTTGACATTGGTGTTGTCAGTTATTGCTGAAACCAAACCCCAGAGTTATTAAAACACCACAGCTTACTAAAGTAGGCCCTAAGCACACAATTAGAGGGAGAAAGCAGTTTAAACATCCTCTCACACCAAAAAAAAAAATCTATTTCAAGATTTATCTTTATATAGATTGTCATATATCATAATAATTTAAGTAATCATCACTATAACCTGCAAATTCTGAGCACATTAAAGGCTTCTTACCAGTCTGTTCAAACTTTGACATAAAACGTTCAAAAATACTCTTGCATGGATCGGGGAGAGCCAGTGTGCCAAATTCTGAGACCACAATTCGATCATTAACACTGTTGGCCTTATATGTATCACTCTGTAGAAACTTGCTCCTATATGTTACTGTGCCCTTCTCCATCCTGAACTGGTGAAGCAAAGCCATTCCATCAAACCAGTGATTGTACCTTCAAATAGGAGCAAAAGTAGAAAAACAAATATTAATAAGAAAAACATGGGGTCAAAATGAGAGATTTCAAATATAGAGATAAGGAAATGGCATGGGTTCCCAGTACAACCTGATTAGTCAGAGAACTTGAAATTAAGGGATAATAGCTTTTGAGGACATCCTGAAGTACAACAGGAAAGAGCAACTTACATTCTCCTGACCCTTACCCCCTGTCAAAAAGCTCATACTTCAGAGGGCTAAAGAAGAAAACTAAGCTAGTGCCTCCTAAGATAATTCTGATCTTTACCCTGTAGTCAAGAGAATAGCACAAGAGGATATGGAATTCTTGACATTTCTCAAATGCAAATGGGTTCCTAAGCTTTTAGAAATAGTTATCTTTTATATCGTGTATGTATTACATGTTCAATTTACTTTAAAATTTTTCAAATTCATCAAAATTATGCTAAAGTAAACAAATAAGATGACAGTCTTTACTGGATAATCATTTTTGTCCATGTGATTACACTAGAAATGACTATTTAAATGACAGAACATGGAAAAACTGTAAGGAAAAGTTTGTGGCTTAACTTTTAAAAGGGTTTAAAGTCACATAGTCTTTTCTTTCATATGCTTGACAGATTGAATCCTTAATGTCTTCAGCATAAATAAGCAAGGCTAACATCATTGTCTTAAAAGCCAATGGTCCTGAAAGCAGGGGTTCAAAGAGAAATTTGTACACCCATTTTTATAGCAGTATTATTTACAATAACCAAAATGTGGAAGCAACCCAAGTATCCATCAACCGATGAATGGATAAACAAAATGTTTACATATAATGAAGTATTATTCAACCTTAAAAAGGAAGCATCTGTCACATGCTACAACACGGATGAAACTTCAGGACATTATGCTAAATGAAATAAGCCAATCACAAGACAAATACTGTATGATAACACTTACATGAGGTATCTAAAGTAGTCAAATTCATAAAAACAGAAAGTAGAATGGTGGTTACCAGGACTGGAGGGAAGGGGAAACCGGAAGCTATTTTTTAACGGGTATAGACTTTCAGTTTTGCAAGATGAAAAAATTTTGAAGATCTGTTTCACAACAATATAAATAAACTTAACACTAACCGGTATGCTTAAAAATAGTTAAGATGGTAAATTTTATGTGTTTTTCACTACAATTAAAAAGAAAATGCAGGAAATAAGAAAGTAAAAAAAAGAAAAGAAAAAAGGCCCTCTTTACCCAGTGATTTGAGATGTCACCTTCATCATAAACTAAATTTACATAAGTTCTTGGGTCTATTCCTGGGCTTTCTATTCTATATGACTTGTCTATTTGCCTATTCATGCACCGATATCACAATGTTTTAATTATGGAGGTTTCATAGTATATTTTAATGTCTAGTAGGGTTAGTCCTGTCACTGAAAATTTTCTTTTTTAGTGTTTTCTTGACTATTATTGCATATTTATTTTTCCATATGAACTTTAGTATCGATTTGTCTAACTTCCTTAAAAAACTTGTTGGAGGGGCCCACCCCGTGGCTTAGCGGTTAAGTGCATGCACTCTGCTACTGGTGGCCCCGGTTCAGATCCTGGGCGCGCACTGACACACTGCTTGTCTGGCCATGCTGAGGCGTCCCACATACAGAAACTAGAAGGATGTGCAACTATGACATACAACTATCTACTGGGGCTTTGGGGAGAAAAAGGGAAAAAAAGGAGGAGTATTGGCAATAGATGTTAGCTCAGGGCCAGTCTTCCTCAGCAAAAAGAGGAGGATTGGCATGCTGTTAGCTCAGGGCTGATCTTCCTCACAAAAAAAAAAAGAAGAACTTGGAATTTTTAAGATTGTATTAAATTTAAAAATTAATTTAGGGAAAACTGACGTCTTTATGTTGTTGAATCATCCTATTCAAGAACAGAGGATGTCTTTCCATTTGTTTAATTGTGTCTTTCAGGAGTGTTTTAAAGTTTGCACATTTCTTGTTAAGTTTATTTCTAAGTATTTAATCTTCTTTGCTGCCATTGTAAATGAGGTTTTCCACCATTATGTTCTCTGATTACTGTTTGTGTATATGAAGGCTATTGATTTCAGCATATTAATTTTACATTCTGTTACCTTACCTTTTATTGTTTGAGTTAGTTTTGTCATTGATTCTCGATGGTTTTCCAGGTTTACTATATCATCTACAAAAAGAGACAGTTTTACTTCACTAATCCTTATGCCTCTAATCAATTTCTTTAGTCTCATTGTATTGGTTACAACTGGTTTGAAGAGTAGTAGAGACAGTGGTCATCCCTTCCTTGCTCCTGCCTTAGAAAAAATACTTGTAGTGTTTCCCGATTTAGTATTACTGGCTTTAGGACAAAGATTAGGGTATATTAATGTCTATATATGTATATATACACACATGTATATATGCGTGTGTATGTATAACCATGTTAACAACATATCCATCAAGTCCTACTTCTTGAGCACTTTTATGAGAAATGGATGTTGAATTTTGACAAAAGTTTTATCAGCATTTATGGAGATAATTATATTATTATTTTTCCTGAGATCTATTAATATGGTTATGATACCAATGGATTTCCAAATAATGAACCTACCTTGTACTCTTGGAATTAATCCTAACTGATCATAGTAAATTATATTTTTAATGTACTGTTGGATTGTTTGTTAATAAAATATTTATTAATACTGTATTAGTATTATAGATTTTGTGCTTTTTCATGGATATTCCTATATAATATGAATAAATAATAGTTTTCATTTTTGTACCATCTTTATCATGTGTGGATATCAATATTATACTTGCCTCATAAAAAGAAGTGAGAAGTTTCCTTTCATTTTCAATTCTCTGAAATAATCTATCAGATATCTGAAAGTTTGGTAGAATTTCCCTGTGAAATAATCTGAGCCTGGTGCTTTTTTGAGAAGTAGTTCCTTAATAAGTTTCTCTTCTTCCTCTACAGAAATTAGTCTGTTTAAACTTTCTATCTCTATCAACTTTGGCAATCTGTATTTCCTCAAGAAATCACCTATTTCATCGAGGTTTTCAAATATATTTGCATAGAGGCCTGCAAAGTCTCTTGTAATTTGTTACCTATTTTAATGGTTTCTTTTCCATTATCATTTCTGATTCTGTACATTTGTGCTTTCTCCCTTTTTCTTCCTGATCATGTTAGCTAGTGGTTTCTGTATTTTGGTAATTTTTTTCAAAAAACATTAAAAACAAAAATGTTTCAATAATTATTGCTATTCCGGTCTAAATCCCTCTGAAACTACAATACACAGAACGAAACACAATACTCTGGGTGTAAAACCAGACATTCAGCTTCCACATTTAAGATATTTCATATGCTTTTATTTCCTTCTTATTTTTCTTTGTTACCACCTCATATTGTTGACTCACACTGACCTCTCAACCAAAACCCCTATGTAATTTTTACCGCATTCAGAGACGTTAAACCACATCTCTTTCATCCTGTGCATGTAAAATTTGTTTTCTTCGCCCATATTTACCTTTAATAATTTACAACTTGTTAGATTCCATCTCACACGATTCTTCTAGACCTTGTCATTCTGTGCATTCATTAAATCAAATCAACCAACATTTCTTGAGTTACTACTATCTGCCAGGCACTGTGCCAAAACCAGTGCTTACAGGCACATAAATAACTACGCCACAAAGTGATTACTACAACAATGGAGAAGTGTTAAACAATGCTATCTATGCACAGCAAGAGCAACAGGATGGAAGAAATGTGGGGATCAGGGAAGGGTCAAGAGGAGAGGAGACATTTGGCTGATTCTTAAGGATATTTGCCAGTTGGAGAAAAGAGGGGCATCCTAGGCAAAGATGATAAAAGAGGAAGTGTTGTGAAGGCACATATCTTGGGGGAATACCCAGTTAACAAGTTAGTGTGGGGGCAGAGCCGTGAGTGGCAGGCAATGAAGACAGAAAAATAGGTCAGTACAAGACCTATCAGCCCTTAGACTTAAGGCTTAAGGATCTTCAAGAGGAAAGCATGGAGTTTTGAAACAGGAGAGTGAAACTGTGAGACCTGCATCTTAGAAAGGTCACTCTGGACACAGGGTAGAATATGAAATAGAAAGAGAAGCATCCAGACTTGGAGAAACCAATGAGGAGACCAAGCAATGAGAGAAGATAAGTGCATAAACTGAAGCAGTATAGTGAGAAAAGGACAAATTCCAGAAAACGTCAAAGGTGACTGATAGGTTGTAGGCAGTGACAAAAAGAGAGGGTCCAAAAAGTCATACCCGAATGGTTGCTGATGCTTTAACTGAGATGGAGAATATGTGAAGAGCAAGGATTAGGGAAAAGCAAATAGTTCAGTTTTGAACAAGAGTCTGAGCTATTTGTAAACATCAGGGTAAAGATGTGCCACAGCCAGCTGGCAAAATACAGGTCTAGAGCACAAGAGATGGGGGTGGGGTGGGAGATACATGTTTGAGAGTATCTATGTGCAACAGGAATAGCCATAGGTGCAAATGAGATAATAACTACCCTCTGCTGAGCATTTCCTACATGCCAGGTACTGTGCAAGCACTTTACCACATCTTTCCCTACATATAAATATACTTTTTCCCCCTCACATTGATCCTGTGAGGAACTATTATTCCCATATTTCAGATGTGGGAACCAAGGTTCAGAGCAACAACATGCCCAGGGTCACAGGGCTGGTAAGCGGCAGAACAAAGATGTGAACTTATTGCTGACTCTAAATCCTGGGCTTACACCATCCCAAAAAGTAAGGTGAACTATAAGAAGTTATCTGGCAGGAAAGGGAGGGGGAAGAGAGGGTGCTGAAGGGAAAGGAGAGAATGAAAATGTACTGGGTGCCAATTCTTGTCAGCCATTGAATGAGGTACTTTATATATATTGTTTCCTTTAATCCTCATACCCAATCTTTAAAATCAATATTATTAGCCCCATTTTCCATTTGGGAATACTTGCTCAAGATCTTGGCACTAATAAGTGGTGA